AAACAGGTTTCTGTGACCACATCCCCAAATTTTGTTTTTTCCATCCATGCAAACTCCTATTACGCTGTTATTATTCATAACTTTGTTTTTTTTTAAAAACGTTGGGGTACTGAGAGAAGATAGCTTAAAAAAAAAAAAAAAGATGGTTAATTGACGAAGCAGAGTCCCCTATTATGGCTCAACCTTTAAGATCCCTGGATCTTACAATCCCCATAATGCAACTTGATGGTGTCTTTCATTAAACCATCCATGCCTGCTAAACAGCCACGTTTCAAACTTTAAGCTCCTAGTTTGTAACACAGCCTGTCTCCCAAGAAATCTGAAAGTTTCCCAGTCTCAAGTTTCTATCCAAACATGGTGCAAAATTTGAATTGAATTTCCAGAGAGTCGGCAAAAGAAAGAAACAATGAATGAATGAATGCATGTTTCCACTGCATTAATTACTACTGTTATGTGACTGTAGGAGAATAGGAGCCCTATAAAACCATTGCAGAAGAAGAGGGCACCACAAGATAATGTAATTAAAAAGTGTCAATCAAACTTTAACAAAAACAAACAATGTAGAAAAGCTGACAGAATTATGACATTTCTGCTCCATGTTCTAGTTTGAGGAAGGTTACAGTCTCCTCCTTTTTGTCCACCACTAGTTTTCATCTCTCCAGTGGAAGCTTGCATAATGTCCAAGTCATATGTTTCATGAATGTTGTAATTTATTCACTGTCTGTTTCCATTGCTCGATACACCAACTGAGCAAAGCCTTAAAACCTTTGTGCAACTTTTTTTCAGATTTTGGAGTTTTTCCAGTCAGAGTTTTTTATGCACACATTGAAAATGCACATAAACACAGATGGATGGAAATACACTTTATGACATTGACTTTTTGTTGTCATTGAACTCCAGCAACATTGACCTGTGCCCTCCAGACATTCATAACAGAGCTGGTGGAAGTTTTTACCAGAGTAACAGACCTGTACATTTAAGAATCTTGAAATAACTTATAAACCAGTGGCCCACAGACGCCTTCATAACAGTAAAGTTTCTTTAAATTGAAGTGTTTTTGGGGTGGGTCCATACCACATCAAATGGCAAGTTCTCTTTTGTACAAACTTAAGTACCACCCTTTAGGTGGTGTACTTCAGGCTATGAACTAAATATGGTGGCACCCATGTCCTCTACTGGACATTTTCCACCAACCTGAGTCTAAAGCCACATGACCTTTGTAGAAGCCCCATTGACAGATATTTTTTTCTGTCTTATACTTAGCCTTTAAATGTTTTTGTAATGTGTTTTGTGATGACCTTGATGAAGGCCACAAGCTGAAACGCGCCAGTCTAATAAAGATGCTGACTGCAAATGTTGCTGGAGATTTGACCTCTTTAGGTCGGAACGGTACGTCAGGAATCTCTCCTTTAGTTCGAGAGGGAGGGATACTAGAGTGGTCTGTTACAGTTGTGTTTATACTGTGTATATATAGAAATATATATATGTGTATATATATATATATATATATATATATATATAGATGTATATACTATTTTTTTTTCAAATGCTGTTGTCTCCTATTTGACCTTGTGTTCCCTACTACAAGACAGATGTGTGATTAGAATTCACTGACAGGAGATGAAGGAACTGCTGTCAATAAAACTCAAGTATTAAAAGCTTAACTACAAAAATCTGAATTTTATTGTATACACATTTATGGTCATTTCACTGTGATTATGCTGTGGCTAAATCAACAAAAGATTCCATCATCATACTTATGGCACTTGAACATGAGTCATTGAAACAGGCTCATCAAAATTCCCTGTAACCTCAAATTAAAGATGATTTATTCACAGACCTCTCTCTGCTCTATTAGAGCATAATGACATAAGTATTCAGCAAGGGTCAAATGATGTCTTGCTATTAGGAAGTAGATAATATGTGGTATATTACTCTTTTTGGAATTGGTTTCATATATCAGAAACATTAAGGAATCTGAAGTCATTTTCTATTTTTGTAGTTTAACCCTTTGGTAGTACTTCATATGTGAACGTGTTCTTCATAGTCTCTGTTATTGTTTCTATGTGCAGTGAGTCCTGATGAGGACAACAGAGTCAGAGAGGACACTCCTGCTGTGGTCCCAACACAAACCACTGCTACCGCTACCATCACGACCAGTACTACCAGCACCAGCCCCGCCCGCCTCAATCCATGTGCAGGTAAAGCCACATTATACTATAATGCATTACACTATAATGCATAGTGACATCACTGTATGCAGGAATCACCACAGTCATGTCCCCTTTACCATCTGTGCGTTTACATTAAACCTACATATTCAATCATGTGATATTTAAAAAGATTCAGGAATAGGTTTTTACAGCTGCTAAAGGCAAAAATGTATCCTTTGAGTGCAGCAAGATGTTTCTTCCTGAATATGTACATGGCATTTTATATAGAGCACATTTTTCAGGTAAAGTCATACCTTATATTCAGCTGTCCCTGTCTGACTTATGGCATTTATACAGCATGTGTTTGTGCATCGATTATATACTATTTCCTGGTGCTTTTTGTTTGTTTTGCTCTTCAGTCACGGTGAGATGATGATACAGACAGGTGAAATAAAACTTACGCAGTTTGTATTTTGCTCATTGAATAAGTTCATGAGTAGCCTGCTTTTCCCAACTTCTACTACAGTACGTACTGCTACTAGAGCTTGGTATCACCACTGATTTCCTGATTCGATCCGATGTTGATTCAGTTAGAGATATTTCAGTTACAATACCAATTTTTCTTGGGTATGAATGAGATTCTCAGAGAACTAATGCTGTAAAGTGTTCCTCTAACCTGGTGCATGATTAAAAACATTAATGTATACATTATGAATGGACACAAAGCAGTTATATTAATACACTTTCTATTTAACAACAGTTTAGACCCGTATCTCAAGGAATAATAGGTAGGTAAGTAACGTACCCCAGCGCACTGGCTGCATAGTGTATGAACAGGTACACATGGCTTCTGCATCTAGTTTTGATTTTCTCCAGCTCTTTGCTGTCTTCATAGTATTTAAATCCAAATTGTAACCACACATCTGCCTTTAGACTTGCTGGTGACTTCACTGGAGTTGCGTCTGCCGAGTGTGTGTGTGTGTGTGTGTGTGTGTGTGTGTTGTGTGTGTGTGTGGGTGGGGGGGTGGGGGGGCATCCTGCAAAACAAACTACGCAGTCAGTATTAATTTATTTACATGTTAGCAAGGCCAAGATAATCACATAGATTACCATACCCTATACTGGCACCCAGGATGGTGGGTGTTAGAGGCTGTGATGTCAAATGGAGACATGTGGCACTTATTGAGCCTCACATATCTTGGCAAGTTTACTTTAAATATGGTGGGAAACTGCAAATTCATCTTTAAAGCTGCCGATAGTTAAAAAAAAAGCGGACATCAACTGTCATCCTTAGTAAAATAATTTAAGTAGCAAAAATGAAGCGATTTTGCTGCCTTAATTTTCCAAGTGCATCACAGCCTGGGACGATAGGACCTAAACAAAAACTTCAGATATTTAATGAACTGTAACTCAAGCTGGGTTTACATTGGTTGGCTCAGTTGACTCACTGTTCACGGCCTCAGTGTGTGATTTGTTAGCTAAAAGATGTAACAAGTGCTGCAGAGACTGGGGGTATTACAAGGAGAAAGGAGAGTAGTGGAGAAGTCGAAGAGCTTGACACACTGTAAAAAGCGAAAGGCCCAAACTATTACAGAAGCAATGTCAAATCCAGCTTTTCTCTGGTGTCAGAAAAAATGTCTCAGCTTGAGATAACAGAAATGTATGGGACCAGAGTCACAGTTTTATCTGGATAAGTTACTATAAAAAGAGAGAGTAACTAATATTTTGAAAAAAGTATTGTAGCCATCTGTTAAAGCAGTCGTTCCCAACCTGTGAGCTGCGACCCACTGGTGGGCCACGAAGGTGTTGCAAGTGGGCTGACAAATCATTTGCAAAACAGTAAAATTTTAGAAAAAAAATGTAATTATAAAAAAAAAACTAAAATATAAATAATGTTTTAAAATAAAATGATCTTTCAAAATGTTTGACTGACTCTGTAATACGGTAGGTTGTGGACGGCCCCACGCTGATCTGAATCTACTGCAGGTAATACACTGACTATAGATAAGTACCTCACACATGCCCATGTAAAATTACCTGAACCATCACCTAAAGGCCTATCACTGTGATACACCAAGGGTAGGAACTTTTATGTTGTCCAGGCCCGACGACATTGTATAATTGTCTGCGATCTGACTCAGTCTGATTGTGCGGTAAAAGATTACATCCAAGGCAAAAACTGAGCTATTAAAATAGATAGCTGGTTAGTAACAGGGACAAGTAAAAGGAAAGAGAGTGAAGAGACCTATGGTAAATCTACTTCCTACATGTTTCTCTTGCTTTCGTACCGTTACGGGGTCAGATGTGGGCCGCTGACATTTTTGAGATTTGTAAGTGGACCATGAGTTGGAAAAGGTTGGGAAGTGCTGTGTTAAAGCTTTTTAGCTGGGCAGATTCTAGTTTTAAAATATACATACTAGCCTACAACTAAAGCTATCTATGCAAGCTATCGTGCTGGTGTTAGCTAACTCATACTAAGCATTTTTTATTTAGTTATATGTAAACATTCTTTTTGCTGTTAGTATCGTGCTGAATTTATTTAGCTCCGTAGCCTCCGCTAAAATGTTAACAAAATCACTCGATGTTTTGTGTCTCCAGACTTCCTCCAGATACATTTTGTGTATGATGGCACATTTACACCTTGCCATGAAATCTAGTCTCATCATGGAGTGTAAATGCAGCAGTGCAGCAAAAAATCTGGGCCCTGTATTTATGCAGCTTCTGGGATTCCTTCCCCTTTTAATACACTGATGGTGCACCTGTACAAATAACTGAAGTAGCAAGTAAACACGTGCATCTCTAGTGGTTATTATGGTAATCAGTAATGAAGTGTTGATAAAGAAGTTAAGAAATCTGAAATCTTATTATATTTCACCACTTTTTTCTCAACATACTTCAATCACTGAGTGAAGCTTTCACTATGTTTGAGAACATTGTTCCTCTCTCAGTTTTTTAGGTCGTCATTATACCCTGAGCATAAGACACATGTGGAAAGCCGTCTTACTCCTCCCCTCACAGAGAGAAAGGTTCACTATAGTACTGCATTTTATATGAAAGGGCAACTAGAAACTTATTAACTAATTCCATATACTGTATACTAAAAAATCTGCAGTATTAAAACTGAAAACACAGGATTGGAGCCTGCTGTCACTCTTAATCTGGCCTACTGGTCTTAATACAAGGAGTAATGTTAAATAAGAACTCCATCTGATTATGTGAAAATTACACAACTGATGTAACTTGGCTCGGTTAATGATCTCAGCTGGTACCTATGATGTTTTATCTTATTCTGATAAAATATCCACATACAGTGCACATCACATAATGTCAGGTATAAACATCTCTTAAAGGTGTCCCTCCTGCAGTATACATACAGTGGCCATCAACCTACAGCAACGTGAAAACATGTTTTTTTCCCATTTTTGCGAAGCCCCTTTGGATTAAGGCGGTTTATCCCATTTATCCTCAAAGATCCTTTGAATCTCTGTCAGACTGGATGGGAAGTGTCTGTAAACTGACATCTTCAGGTCTCTCCACAGATGTTCTGTGAGGTCTGGCCACTCAAGGACAGTCAGAGACTTGTCCCAAAGCCAGTCCAGCATTGTCTTTGCTGCATGCTTCAGGTCACTGCCGTATTGAGAGCTGAACCATCTCCTCAGTCTCAGGTTGAGAGAAGCGGGACAATTCCTGGTGGCCTGAGGGTCATTTTGGCCTGCACTGTTAACAGCCAGCTTGACCGATGAAATAGTGTGTGTCCAGACCGTTGCTGCTCAGGTTGTGTGAAATCGGAGCAGGTTTTCCTCATGGACCTCTCTGCCAGCATAGGGCTGGTTTTAGCTTTATGATGAGCAGTGCCTGATTATATTTGTTGCTTCTAGGCTGGATAATTCCATATCATCAGGCTGCGTCTAATCAATCTAATCAAGACTCTCTCTGCTGATTCCTGAGAAGTTGGTCCATCCATTAGGCTCTCCCTTCTCTGCAGCAGGCTTCTGAAGTTCTGTTAGAGTGACCATTGGGTTCTTGTTTGCATCCCTAACCAAGGTCCTTCTTCCCTGGTTACTCAGTTTGGCTGGACAGCCAACTGTATGAAGAGTCCTGCTGGTTTCAAACTCCTTCTCTTTCACAATTATCGAGGCCACTCATACCTTTAGAAGTGGTTTAATACCCTGATCTATGCCTTGCCACAAAAACGTTTCTCCTGACATGTAGTGTGAATTGTGGGACCTTTATATACACAGGTGCTTGCCTTTCTAAACTGTTTCCAGTCAATTCACTTTGCCACAGGTGGACTACAGTCAAGTTCATCTCAATGATAATCAAAGCAAACAGGAAGCACCTGATCACAGTATGCCACAGCAAATGGTCTGAATACATCTATAAATAAGAGATTCAGATTTTTGATACATTTGCACAAATGTCTAAAAACATCTTTGCACTTTGTCATCTTAGGTTATTGAGTACTGAGTGATGGGCAAAAATCTACAAGACAATAAAGTGTGTAATAAATGAAGTGGTCTGAATACTTTTTTAAGCCACTGTAACTTTAAATTGTGAAATGTGTTAATAAGTGGACTTCCAATCCATGCTAATTGACCTCATTTAAAATAATAAAGGGATATAATTGTCAGGCTTTGAGATGATCCTCCAAAGTTATCCAGGAGCGAAGATTTGGGTTCCTCTTAAAATGTGAAACATAATTTGTAGATTTAGGTTCTGATATTCACTTCCTGCTGTGATACTCTTCTTCATGGATCATTCCCTTGTCTAAAGCGGCGTGTTACAGCTGCATGTGTAATGTGACGACAGTCTGGGGCTTTAGATAGTATTTCATATGAGGCAGTGAAGTATACAAGCAGTCACTGGTGTCTTCAGCTTCTAACTCCATGTCTAGAGCCCAGGACACCAGATACATCTGCTCAACACATCAGCTGCTCTTATTGAGACAAAGGAAGCGGGCCGGGTTGACGTGTCCGAGCGCTGTGTGACTGCCCTCAGGCGAATGCTCCCTTATGAACAGAAGTAAAAGCAGGGACAGCTGCTTCGCTGCATGCACTTCCGCTGATAAACTGTTCAGCTATAGTTGATCTGCTGCATTTATGCTGCTGTAGCTTCATGAGATGAATCTTGTTAAAGTCAGGAGGAGGTCAGGATTGTAAACCCTTGAGCTGCTGGAGTCTGTACTCCAAGTTTATTCAAAGCCCTGCTCCTTCAAAGTGTCTCTGGTTGTTATTTACAAGAATATCCTGATCAATGGTTGGAGCGGCCTCCTGACACTTAACCACTGCAGAGCTTTTGTGAGGGATGTGTGAGAAATTGTGGGGAAACAGTTCCTGGTCCTTGCGTTTTTGTGACAGGACTATTGAGCTGTTAAATAGAGAGAATTGATTCAGTTGTGTTGAATGCGATAGCTCATGAGAGGCTCTTTCTGCAGGAAGTGATGATCAGTGTGAGGGAGTGAAAGCGAGATCCATAGGAGCCTTCGGGGAGCAAAACAACAGGGCACTGAATTACCGGGACAGCAGAGAAGCAGCACGAGAATGAGAAATGTCAGACATTAAGAGTGAATGACTGCAGACGAAGCTGTGTGCAATGTCGAGATGATTGTGGTCACACTGTTCATATTTTGTCTCTTGTAGAAAATGGTCCTTGCAGTCAGCAGTGTATGGTGGTGGCAGGCCAGGCTCGCTGCTCCTGCTTCCCAGGCTTCTCACTGATGACAGATGGACACAAGTGTGAAGGTAAGGGCTGCCACTCCTCTCGTCCTGTTACCACTGGCAGTAATTGGAGCAATTGACAAAGCTTGTGTGTGTCCCTTAAGCTGTTTTCCTCAAGCTGCGAGGTAACAAACAACCTAACACCATCAACAATACTGCATAAATGAACAACAACAAACACATACAGCCATGACAACAGAACAAAAGTGCAATGGAGCAGTTTGTCCAGAGATTGAGACACTTTTTAATTGGATGCAGTCGCTCATGAAGGAGGAAAATGCAGGTCTTGTGATACTAAACAATACATCGACTGATTGGGCTTCCACTTCCTTGTGGTGGAGACCGCTGCCGGGAGCATGAGTCAAGCATAGCCAATTACTCTGTAGCAGCAACAGCTTCAAAACACGACACATAGCATCTGCGTACTTGGCTTCCTTCCTTCAAAACCAGGCACAACAGCGGCGCCTCTGACAGAAGGTCAGCATTCACAGCTGAGTATAAGCATGTGCTGCCTGGTGCTTCTAAATCACAGTGTCAAGAAACACATTGTAAAAATGATTTCTGCTCATTATAGAAGAAAAAGAAATTATTACCTGGCCGCTGGTGTCAGTTTATTATTCAGCATTGGTGGGAAGTAACTGTACATTTACTCAACTACTGCACTTTGAGGCTGAGCTAAATGACTAGTTGATTAATCAATAACTTGACTGTGAACAAATTAATTGGAAACAATTCTGATAACTGGTTGTTTAAGTCTTTTTTAGGCAAAAATTCAGTAAATATTTGCAGGTTTATCACCTTTCTGACAGTGAACTCAACATTTTTGTGTTTTTGACTGTTCAGAAAAAGATTGAATATGTTAACTTGGGCTTCAATGAATAATACTGGGCATGATTCACTATTTTCTGATACACATACATTGAATAATCAATTGATTATTAAAGGTGTATTGATAAAGAAGATAATTGTTAGTTGCCTTAACAGTTCTTCTATGATGGAGATCTTCTGTGTGTTAATTTTACAAACATTGACGCAGTTTGTCAAAACACTTAACCACAAATGAGCTCAATATAAACTAAAACAGTTGCTTCATTATTCTGGATTTTGACCCTGTTTAGCTAATTTGCAATTAATCAAATTATGGAGACCTACATGATTTGGAGTCAGCTTCTTGGGCCTGGGGGTCTGAGGCCCCTGTGCAGTTGTCCACTTTGTGCTGCTGTTGGATTTTGTTGCGTAATACGGAGGTGTTTCTAGTATTTCGTCTGCTCTTACTGATATAAATGCTTCCAAAGAGGCAACAGCGCTGGTAAAAATGAAAAATGTTATAATTAAAGATCACTCATCAAATAAAGGCGTGTTGGACATGCTGGTTAAATCAAAGTCAACATTTTACTGTGGAGGAAAAGTAATCACACAGATAAACCTCTCCCCAGAAGGGAATGTAATTGTTACCAGGCCAAAGACCATTTTCCACGAAAGGGCTTACAGTGATACATTTGCTGCAGTAGTTAGTAAATTGATCCATGAATTTGCAATAGGGTAAAAACTTGGCAGCAATTTTGCTTTGTGAAACAAGTGATATACGGTCCACCTCTGGAATTCAATAAACACAATCTGCTGCCTGCACCACGTATACTGTAGACCGTGTACTAGGTGACTGTAAGTGCAATCCTGGCTGAGTTTATTTAATCTGTCAGTCAGCAGACAGGATGATACCTCTAGATGCAAAAGCATTACATAACTGTTAGTGTTTCCCCTCCTATCACTTCATTCAGTGAACAGAGTGAGCACTTTCTCCCCTAAAGTGGTCCCACATGTGAACACGTGGGTGGGCAACATTTGGTTTAGACTGGACTGAAACAAAGCAAATAGCACTACAAGATGTGAGTGTGAGGGGGGTATTTGAGGATTTGACAGAGATGTAAGTAGACTGTGAATTAAATTGTGGAGTGCCTGTTGTAGACATATCTCACAGGCTTTGAAAACGCTGTGGAAGTCAAATCTGAAATTTGTCAATATGCACTTTCATCAGAAATATGGATGTGATTAATCCAGCGTCCCGGCTGTGTGAGATCTGAATTCACAGGGTTTCCGGGTAGATAAAGCTGCTTCTCCCCTATGAATTTGAATTACTGTTAACATTTTAACACACAGTTGTTCCCTGGAGGTGTGTGTGTGTGTGTGTGTGTGTGTGTGTGTGTGTGTGTGTGTGTGTGTGTGTGTGTGTGTGTGTGTGATGTGTGTGTGTGTGTGTGTTGTGTGTGTGTGTGTGTGTGTGAGTGAATAAACAAGAGTGTGTTGTGTGAAGCAGGCTTTATGCACAGCCTGAATAGTAAATGTGTGGGTGAGACAGTAAATCAGCACTCTGATGTAGTTTCTGCTCCTCACCCGGCTGTGGATGGATATTCTTAAGTTTCCCAGACAAACACACACAAGCAAACTGGTAATTCAGACAGCAGTGATTTCCAGCTTTAATTCATGTGTTTTGCCACCTTCACCCATTTAAGACTTTCACTCTGAGGACTAAACAAACCATTGCAGGCAGGGTTGGATTTGTTTTGCATTCCTCAAAATGGTGCACGGGGATCAGCTTTCTGAGTTATTACATGGATGATAAGTGTGGATGAGACACTGAATAGCAATCAGGGCCCACTGCATCATCCTCTCTGTGGTCACACTGCTAACATAATCTTGAGATTTACATTGTTGGGATTGTTGGAGAGAGATATTATTCTGCCCAAGCAAAGCTCGTGGAAGATATTAACAGTGATCGACCACATCGTTCTCAGACTCATGGACCCGCCCAGCTAAACAGAGGGAAGCCTTGTGGTCCCATCCAGGCTAAAGGTCATCTCTTTAGCTGTTGCAGTCAAAATGAAACATCACAAAAATTGAAATCCTCTCCCTATCAAGAGTTTAAATAGTGCGTGATTGAATCACTCTAGGTGCTTAGTTTTTTTTGCAGTGCAAAGACCAGTACAGTGAGATGTGATGCAGAGGAGAAGGCTCAAGACAAGATGTCGGCACTTGGTTGAAAATGGTTTCTTTTATGTTTCAATGAGAAAAGATTAGGTCTATTTTCAGCAAATCTGGTTAGCTGAGAGGAGTTTTTTTCTAGTTGTAGTTTTCTTTTTTTGCCCCAACACTGTGATGTGCTGCTGTAGTCAATTACTGCAAAGTGATCATGATGTGATCAATCAATGGTCATGGTTTGGAGCTTCCAATGAGAATGATAGAGTTGTAAAGGATAGAGTTGTTGTTGTTGTTGTTGTCTTGCCCTCATAGGTGCTACGAACCTAACGGGAGGGTTAAGGAGATGTCAGTCAAGGAGCAGTTGTGCTACACCCACACCATCACACACACCAGGCAAATAAGTGCAAAAACCTGTCAGGGTTGACCATGGCTGTGCAGGAGCTTTACACACTCTCCACAGTTTGGATCAAAACCAGAAAACACTCCAAACATTCAGTCTACGTCAAACGGACACACTGGACATGAACGCAGCTCATATCTCAGACCATTTTTACTGATTTTTACTGTTAGCTTGTAACTGGCAGTGGCTGACAACAGTGTTAGTGGTTGTGCTAATGCTAACTCTCTCTTTCTTTGCTGACAAGGTTTCAGGTTTATTTAGCCCCACCCCCTGTCCCCACAAGTTGACAGGATTGGTTCCCTAGGTTTGTGACGTATGAAACCCTAATTGTCTGAATCTGTTGTTATGAGACTGTCATTGGTTCACTGCAGTTCAAGGTGGAAACACTCAGTCATGGTGTTGATGATTATTTCACTCATTGCTCTTGCATCATATAAGAAATGGATGGATAACAAGGTTAAACACTTGATTTTCATCGGAGGAGGTCTTTAAAGCCTACAGCCATGTCACTACCTGCACCAGCAGTTACTGAGTAGACTATTGTGTTGCAGAATAGAATTATGCACCATGTTGTTACAGCTGTTTAAAAGGTATGAAATGGTTAATGTGACTGGTGAGGGAGGATAACAATTAATCACCGCACCTTCTGGTTTAAATTTCACCTCAGTGCATTCTGCATGTCTGAACAAAAATGTGCAGGTGCACATCCTCCCATCCCTCAGCTGTCCTCATGTGCACATGACCTCATGCTCCGTCGTGGTGTCTGGGTTTGAAATTGAGAACTACATCTTTTTTAGGGATCAAAAAGCCTGATAACCTGAAGAAAAATCTTCTGGGCCCCTAAATGATACTCTTCTAAATTCATCCCCTTGTCACTGATGATTGAGGAATCATGCACACAGCTCACACTCGAGTCCCACCAGTCTGTATCTTCGTAACCCAAACCCTCCCGTCTCAAACCTAATCTGATGAGCCAAGTCTGACTTCATCTACCTCAGCTTGAACTTTTCAAAGAATCTCATTGTCTGCTGGGTCCAGTGTGTAAGAACAACGGGGTGTGTGTTTTCTTCGGTGCCTAATGGTGCTGCCTCTCTCACGCATCTCCCTGTGCACAACCTCCTCCTGTCTCCTGACAGACTTCTTCTAAAACTAATTCTCCCTTCTTCGTTCAACTAAGCATTTGCATCCCTCAAAAATAGACTCTTTGTTTCTTTGTTTTGTATTGGATCACTTCACTCCTCACAACTGTGTAATGTGGCTCTCCCCGGGGACCAGTCACAGAAGGTAGGGACCTTAAGGCAATAGGCACTTTTTCCTTTTATTTTTCTTTTTTTCCTTTTTGAATGACGCACTGGAAATAATGCTGGACACCAGAGCCTTGCGGTCGAAGGAGAAGGCGACTTTCTGCACCACTGGCAATATGCAAACAGTCCCATCTATTCGCAGGCTTGACGGAGAGCAGGGCCCGGACGACAGGGTGATTTGCCTATGGAAATATCCTCCCTAGAACAAGGACAACTTGGGGAAATTTGCAAAGACAGACCCCAAAACAAGAGTATGTCACCACTGTACAGCCTGTACAGCATCTGTAGACGCTACAGAATGTTACATGTTAATTTCTGCCGCAGTTCCACAGAGGGTTTATATAAGATGGTGAGCTATGCTCTGTGCGGTGAGGGATGATGCTTGTGTAGTTTTTTGGGGTGAATAACCTTGTAGGAAAAGAGCTGCAGGGTGTTACGCACACACCAGGTACACACTGAAAACCTCGGATCAGTGTTTTTCCTCCTCCTGCTCCCCATGTGAAAATGTTGTAAGACACAGTTCATTCAAATTCCCTATGGCAAAAGCTTTGAAAGTTGAGGAAAGAATTTCAGCAAGGGACATCCAATGGATACACGAGGAACACAGGAGAATATGTTCCCCTCTTGTTCCAGCTTTTTGTTTTTAAGCCATGGCTCCTTCATGCAGATTTGTATAAGACCTTTTCGTCTGGTTCCCTGTGGAATGCGCCATATTTTGAGGTGATCTTCAAACCTGGATATCTGCCACACTCTTGCACACCAATGTGCAGGAAGACAATAATCCCAGTCCGGCTCTATCAGTGCATCCAGCTAATCGGCAATGCACTGCATGATAAGGGAATGCAGCGGTTCGATAAAGATAAGCCACAACAGAGTGAGGATCCTCTGTCTCAGCACGAGCCATCCACTGTCATAAATCAACAGCAAGTGTTTACCGGCTACAGTTCTGTTTGACTGATAAAAATGTAAAGGTCTGCAACTGCACAAGCAGACCAAGCAAAACATCACTTAGCTCTTGCCAAGACCTGATATTCAAAATTTGACTTGGGATTTACAAAGCAGTCACTGGTCAAAGTTGATACACAATCCTAACAAATAGGAGGACACATTCTGTCAGGGTAATACGTGCAGCATCAGTGGGACTAACAACAAATCTTCATTTAGTGGAGCTAGAATTAAATTGTTTGTCATATCTTGTGTTCTTCCGAGGAAGAAAATGAATCCATTCTTTGTGTGAGGCCACCCACATCGTTTCATGTTTCATGTATCATGTTTCTGTAAATATATTTACAGCAGCCCAACACAATGCAACACAAACAGTACCTGAAACTTTGAACCCCAACCCATATTAGCTCTAGCTTATGCGTCCCTCGAATGTTCAAACATGGAGAGTCACGTGTCTAGTTTCACCTCGGCTTATTGAATGAGCTACCAAACCGTAATCACCGACATCAGTTTGCAGGCTAAATTAGCTGCTAATGAGTTAATCAGCTGTGGAGTATTGAACATCTTAAACATCCACCTGAAAACGTCACTGTCAGTCAGTGTAGATGCTAAATGTCCTGCTCATCAGTATTGATTCATTTTTCAGCTACTTGGTGGCAGCAGAACAACCTGTGAACACACTATTGACATAATATCACTGTCCTTACATCCAGCAGACACTCGACAACATTGGCATTCATTTGATTTGTGGCCTTTTGTTTTTGGCCACATGATGACTATAAGTCCAATATTCACTCTTCCTCTTGATTTGGTTTTGGTCTTTACCATCTCCTTAGGAAAATATCTGGCCTTTTAGCTCCTAAATGCTCTGCTATGTTCACCAGCTAGCTGCTAACTTTGACTGGAAACTGGGAAAGAGACGCATGAGAGCACTGAGACTGAAGCAAGTTGCAAGCCCTAAAAAAAACCACAACAGCAGAATCAGGGAATAATTTTCTGTGGGCTCATCACTACGAGTGACCTTTCTCACATTACACATGTCTCAACTCATGTGCTCACATTTGCTATTTTGAGCACACATTCACACTGGCAAGTACGGCAACATGCAGTGCACTGTGAGCACCCAGATCAAAACGGACACAAAAGTTCAGTGTAAAACAAGGGGGGAGGGACCACCAACGTATTCCAAACTTGTGGAAAAAGCGACTGAAGAAGAAGGGCACATCATTGGCACTGATGGAGGCCTAATTTCCACGTCACATAACACAGGGGAAATGCAGGAAATGTAAAGTGTTCATTTTCAAGTCAAGTGAGCAAAGCAGTCTGCAGATATTTTGGTGGGCGACAATGTTGGAAATTGTTACTGTTATCATTTCCAGTGAGTGCACAACAGCAGGGTGTGATTTATACGGTGGCCGGCAAGGGCAAACGCGCTGCAGTGGCCCAAAACACTTCCGACAGGAGGAACAAGCTTCAAATTCCTAAACGATGCAGATTCAAAAACACATACAAAAATACAAAATTAATACAACAAAGGGAACATGCTGCAAATGAAAAAATGTGCTGCAGGAAGCCAAAACAAACACATTAACAGCAAACACGCTGCAAATACAGAAACTAAATAATTGAAAGTGAACCGTCTCCTTTCTCAACTGCCTCTGGTCCTGACCTCTTGGGTCAAAGCTCGAGCGCTAAGTGGGGTCAAGATGTTCCACTTAGCCCTCCCCCTAGGGGCCTGGAGCACTTCAGTTGCGTCTTTTTTCTGTTGCATTTGTTTTGGGGGTTTGTGTGTTTTTGTTGTTGCATCACGTCTGTATTTGCAGTGTATTTGCTGTTAATGTCTTTGGGCTTCCTGTAATTCACGCCCTGTGTCAGCACACTGTGTACACAGTTTACTCACTGAAGTATCTGATTTGACACAACAGTCATTTGATCCATTGCAAATATAAACATATTGATCAGTGCAGCTTTAATCTTCAGTACCGCTGCAGACAAAACACTGTCTTGTAAACACTTGGTTACCACTGCACATTGTCTTTGTGCCCCTCAGGCCTGTCCACTCCAAGGGTTTAAAGGTGTAAGAGCTTTCAGGATGATCTCCAAGGAACTTGTTTTGTCCCTTTTTACTAACAGAAAACATGATGTCTGACTGTTTTCAGCTGAATTTTAAACCAAGCAGGAAAATTTCATGCAGGCAAAAGCAAAAGCATTTCCTGGTACACCTCATACTAATAAATGTAAGAAGAACTTTCTTAGTCACTTAGTTTCTGAAGTATAATTGCTGATGCCCCATTTTTATGAGGGTGAGGACCCATCAACAAACTACCTCATGTGCACCTCATAATCATGCACCCTCTGTCCGTCTCCTTCCCCACCCTGTCATTTTACACACAGTCACCATTTTTCTTCTTCTGCAGATGTGGATGAATGCGTGACCAACACCCACAGCTGTGGAGCCAGTGAGCGCTGTGTGAACACAGTGGGTTCATTTGTATGCGAGCTGCAGGTCACTTGTCCTGCAGGCTACCAGCGGAGGAACAGTGTTTGCGAAGGTGAGCTCATTGTTCCTGATGTATTTCATGAAGACAATTTACCCAGAGCAACTAAAGTAGTGAGTGGAAATACTGTCTTTTTTTAAAGGTACAGTACAGTAATTGTAATTTGTAGCAAAACCACACACAAACAGTAATGCTGAATTAGAGAATCCCTTGTGTGTTGGAAAGACACTTGAATCCAGTAATGGCATGCTGCTAACAAAGTGCCCCTAACAAACTACCATATAGCCAGGAAATAACAATGTAAATATATTGGATGGCTAATGCTAAAAAAGTGCTCAGGTCTGATTACATGAAAATCTTCAGGATTATGCCTTTATGGTTAATTTAACAGTTGATTAAGGTTAGGAAATGATAGTTACGGTTAATAAAAGAAAACTGTTAAATTCAGTTCTTGTTTTGGAGTTTTATACTCAGTTTACCAGCACCTTATGGAGGATCTAGCAACCAACAGCACACAAGTCTGATACCTCTGGCTCAAACTGAGGCACTGTGTAATAGATGCACACACAGGCAGGCTATTCTGGTCCTAAAGTTTGTCATCACATCCCCTGTGTTGCTTTTTCTAATTGTATCGCTATAACCCAAAATAATTTGTCTTTAAAGGGCCCTTTATGACTCACAAATCATCCCTGAATACAAAACTGCAGTGTTGTACATCATGAATGGCTCTTGGCATTATTGATAAGAGACAGCTGTTTTCAAAGAGGCTCTTTAACAGAGACGGGATATATTTGGACAGCTCATTTCCACCTTTAGTCCATGTTTAGAGGAACACAATCAACATTATTAACAGAAAAATCTTCACAAACCCTGAAGCAATGTGCAGAAATGAAAGAAGATGGACCATTATACAGATTATTTCCAACCATTTTCATTCTGATATTGCTGCTGTACTGTCAATTGTCGGCAGTTATGACTTAAACTCAGCTCAGTTAGCAAAGCTTCATTAAGATTTATGCTAATGTTTTTTTGGGCCCAGTGGTCATGTTTGTGCCTCAGCAGATGCCCAGGTTCAGTATCTGACAAGATAATCACCCAGAGAGGCTGCATTGCACGGCAGTCGAGTATGCTCTGTCTCTGACTTGTGTCATCAGCACTTGGCACCAGGGAGGACTAATCAATGTAGCTGGATAATGAAGGTAATATTTAGTCGACCATCCAAAAGGGGAAAAAAATAATTAGCTGCTTGAAAGAAAGGCGAGATCTCTGCTCTCTGATGTGGGATATCCATCCCTCTGATGATGATTGGTAGAGAAGAACCCAAATTAAGACCTTCCGCCTGTGTACCTCGGTACAAATCTCCGAGGACCAAATATAATATGAACTCGGAGAAATGGGCTTGCGGCACAAAAGCAAAAAATCCTCCATTTAAACTCCATCCATCGCTCATGAGATTCAATAGCTGTCATTGAAGAAGTTTGGTTCCACTTCTGTTAATTGCAGAGTTGGAACAAGTGATATTTTTATGGGAGGGGAATTTTTCCTGGAGTTAAATACTGAGTGAAAGTTTGAATTTCTGGGATGCTACATATGTTTACTCTTGTGCTTGAGCCACAGTGCCATCTACTGTCCTGTTAGGAGCTGGAGCTGAAGCTCAGAGAGTCCACAGCAGATGTAAACCTTTTTACAGCTGAATAGAGTATGGATTATTTTGGTTCCGCGAGATGAGTCATTGCATTTATGTTTATCTGTTCTTTCTTTAGATGTTGATGAATGTGTGCTGCGAACCCATAACTGTGGAGTGGGCTTTGTGTGTGAGAACACAGTGGGCTCTTTCCTGTGTAATCCCAAACATAAGTGCATCAGCGGCTTCACACAGGACTCTCATGGCAACTGTATTGGTAAGAGACTGTCAGAACTGCTCTCTGCTGGCTAATGGAAACACATTATACACAACTAATAGACTGAATTTATATCATCTTATCAACCTCTTGAAGGGCTTGACACTACAAGCCACATCCACCCATTTACACATGCATTCATACAGTGCTTTCTTCTACACATACAGCACTTTTCTACCACAAGCACACACATTGGGCTGTATTTTAATGATCCAAAGCGCATGGTTTGAAGTGCGTGATGCAAGTGCATTTAGGTCATGTCCATGTCACTTTTGCTATTTTAAAGGTGGAAAAAACAGTCAGTGCTCCAGACGCATGGTTCATAATCTTTTAATTATTCTGGGCTTAACATCCAAACCAATCACAGTGCCATCTCCCATTCCCTTTAAAAGCCAGGCACACTTGCAACTTGCACTTGCATTTGTGATTATTTGATCACATATTGTGCCTGACCAGTGAGTGAGTGCAGTCCTGACCAGTGACCCCAGTGCTGACCAGTGAGCCCACAGCAGCTTCTCTGCAGAGCCTCGTGTAAAAGACACCCATGACACATGACAATGTTATGTACACAACATGTCTCAAAGAAGCTCCAACATTCTGAGGCTCTATTGTAATGTTCTACTTGATTTATCCCAACATCTAAGAGCATTTTCAGCTCACTGCTTGTGTTTACCAGGCAGAGTGTATGAGCTCTGTGCGCCCGTGTATGTTGGCACATATTACTCTCTTTATAATGCGCCTTAAAATAACAGTCAAATACTGCAACACTGACTTAATACCAGGTTTTTGCTGGTCAATCACGCAACCACTTTCCACAGCCTTAAGATAGCAATGCACCAACAATGCTCCTGACCACTCCTCATTTTAAGACCAACACGCCCATGGGTGCACAGATAAGTGCAAGTGTACTTGCTATTCAAACAACGTGGGCACTGGATGGGAAAATGACAACTGCGTTGGTCTGAAACTAGCACAGGCACTTGCATTACACTTTGCATCGGGTGTTAGAGAAGGCCCTTAGCCCCAATGTTACATCAGGGGCAATTTGGGGCTTTGTATCTTGCCCAGTAAACTTTGAAAACCACCAGTAAACCATGACCTTCAAACTAGTGGATGACCCGCTCTACCTCCTGAGCCAAAGCTGAGAGAGAGTGGGCTAAAATTTTTATCATCAGATTAGATTCAGTGCTCCTTATCCCGCTGTCTCTCCATGGCCAGATCAACCTGTTAGGACGGCTCCATGGCAAAATGAGCTGCAGGACCTGTGTTAACAGCCCCCACTCCTCACTGTCTCTCTGCAGTGTGTGCAGTTTTCACAAAATGAACTGAAATGTTCTCTCCGGGTAAAAGTTTAAAGTCTGTTTCATCTTTGACCCAACGTCACTGATGGGTGTGGTCGGGTGTAGTCAGAGGTTTTTGTGTTGTTTTTGTTCTTATTATAAAAAGGAAGCTTGTAGATGATTTAAAGAAATACTTCAATGACCTACTATACTGTAGCATGATATACAGTGGGTACGGAAAGTATTCAGACCCCTTTAAATTTTCCAGTCTTTGTTTTATTGCGGCCATTTGCTAAAATCAAAAAAATTCATTTTATTTCTCATTAATGTCACTCAGCACCCCATCTTGACAGAAAAAAACAGAAATGTAGAAATTTTTGCAAATTTATTAAAAAAGAAAAACTGAAATATCACATGGTCATAAGTATTCAGACCCTTTGCTCAGTATTGAGTAGAAGCATCCCTTTGAGCTAGTACAGCCAGGAGTCTTCTTGGGAATGATGCAACAAGTTTTTCACACCTGGATTTGGGGATATTCTGCCATTCTTCCTTGCAGATCCTCTCCAGTTCTGTCAGGTTGGATGGTGAATGTTGGTGGACAGCCATTTTCAGGTCTCTCCAGAGATGCTCAATTGGGTTTAGGTTTAGGGCTCTGGCTGGGCCAGTCAAGAATGGTCACAGAGTTGTTCCGAAGCCACTCCTTTGTTATTTTAGCTGTGTGCTTAGGGTCATTGTCTTGTTGGAAGGTGAACCTTCGGCCCAGTCTGAGGTCCTGAGCACTCTGGAAGAGGTGTTCTTCCAGGATATCTCTGTACTTGGCCGCATTCATCTTTCATTCAATTGCAACCAGTCGTCCTGTCCCTGCAGCTGAAAAACACCCCCATAGCATGATGCTGCCACCACCATGTTTCACTGTTGGGATTGTATTGGGCAGGTGATGAGCAGTGCGTGGTTTTCTCCACACATACCGCTTAGAATTAACGCCAAAAAGTTCAATCTTGGTCTCATCAGACCAGAGAATCTTATTTCTCATAGTCTGGGAGTCCTTCATGTGTTTTTTGGCAAACTCTATGCGGGCTTTCATATGTCTTGCACTGAGGAGAGGCTTCCGTCGGGCCACTCTGCCATAAAGCCCCGACTGGTGGAGGGCTGCAGTGATAGTTGACTTTGTGGAACTTTCTCCCATCTCCCTACTGCATCTCTGGAGCTCATCTTCTTTACCTCTCTCACCAAGGCTCTTCTCCCACGATTGCTCAGTTTGGCTGGACGGCCAGGTCTAGGAAGAGTTCTGGTCGTTCCAAACTTCTTCCATTTAAGGATTATGGAGGCCACTGTGCTCTTAGGAACCTTGAGTGCTGCAGAAATTCTTTTGTAACCTTGCCACAATTCTGTCTCTGAGCTCCTTGGGCAGTTCCTTCGACCTCATGATTCTCATTTGCTCTGACATGCACTGTGAGCTGTAAGGTCTTATATAGACAGGTGTGTGCCTTTCCTAATCAAGTCCAATCAGTTTAATTAAACACAGCTGGACTCCAATGAAGGAGTAGAACCATCTCAAGGAGGATCAGAAGAAATGGACAGCATGTGAGTTAAATATGAGTGTCACAGCAAAGGGTCTGAATACTTATGACCATGTGATATTTCAGTTTTCTTTTTTAAATAAATTTGCAAAAAGTTCTACATTTCTGTTTTTTTCTGTCAAGATGGGGTGCTGAGTGTACCTTAATGAGAAAAAAAAAAGAATTTTTTCGATTTTAGCAAATGGCTGCAATGAAACAAAGAGTGAAAAATTTAAAGGGGTCTGAATACTTTCCGTACCCACTGTAATTACACAGAGGAACAGTCAGTCAGGGATCAAGAATGTCTTTCATATAATCAATACACTTTTTGTTTCAGTCAATATGTTGTTTTCTCCAGTTGTATGAAATGATTTTTTCGGCAGTCCACAACTGGCACAGGGTCTTATGATCTCTATTTAAATGTTATTCAGGTTTAGCAGCAAGTAATATGTTTTCTGAGTTTAGCAGCATTTCCATGACTAAAGTATAAGTTGGTGAAGTTCAGGCTATATATTTTGGGGCAAGGCATAAAGAGAAGTGTAAAAATGACAGATTGTGGGTTTACTAAGGATCATATGATGGATTATTTCTTGACTTCTTGGAGACTAGTTGCCTGGTAACTTCATGGTGACTAGACTCCAGGAAGTTCTTGCATCTTTTTAAGAAACAGTTTGGTACATGACCCCAATACAAGCTTTTCTTTAAATGACCAACAATTTCTTTACCAGTGTAAAGGGAAACACTATCAACTTGAAATGGAGAAATATCAAGGAGTAGTCATAATGTTCACCTCTGGGTGCTCCTGATGTCATATACCTTGTCTGATATACAGCCACACAGAGCAGAGTAATCATCAGTCTTAATGAGTCCCAGCAGATGATTGCACTTACATTACTGAACTGTCACTGAGGGTGGAAGTCTTAATTCTACAAATGTAAAGTTGTGTGTTCTGAAAATCTTCTGTATTTTCTTTGTTTTGAAATGTTTTTATGATTTTTTTTTTTGATTAACCCCTCCACAATAATGCAAACTGTGTGAATTATGCAACTGCTGTTCAAGCACTGTCCCTCAAAGTGCTTTATCAATTCACATAGTGATTAATAGTGCTGCTTAACAGCCAGCAGACACCACTAATTGCAGTTCAAGTTACCTCAAAGTCCTTAATTCATAATCTACCTTGACACTGTATGAAGTGGGGTATTGGAACCACTACATACTAAGAGAGCATGATTACCACCACCAGGTCAACAAGTAACACAAGTCTATAATTGTTCTGTTGAAATAGACCTGTCAATCAGGATTAAACCTCCTAACAATCACTCTCCAGTGGAACTATAATTTCTCCCCCCTCTCTCTCTGCAGACATAAATGAGTGCAACAGCCTGAGTGAGCCGTGCAGCTCAGGCTTTAACTGTATCAACACAGTGGGCTCCTATACGTGCCAGCAGAAGATCATAAAGTGCAGCCATGGATACCACGCCAGCCCCGATGGAGCCAAGTGTGTCGGTGAGATTCCCCTCTTCAATACAACAGCATGGACGCACAAGGCTGGCAGCTGTGGAAAGATGTGAATGCAGTGATGTTAGCCTGGTGTTGGCTATGACACAAGTGCTCAAATGCATTACATAATGCCACGAGAGGCAAGAATGAGCCCAGGTATCGGCCAGTTAGGATGAGTTGAAATTCAATCAATAAATAAGACATAAGAAGAAGAAGAAATAACAGCTCATTATTATGATTTCTTTTTCTGCAATAACAGTTTATTGCTGGTCATTTTTATTTTTATTTAATCCATCAGGTTTTCTATTTAACAACACCTTTTCCCGTAAGTCTTTTATTTCATGATGCCAGTTTTCTTCTCAGAGTCTGTCAATCAGGCAAAACAGGGCAGAGCCTGTCAGATGATTGGCTGTTGCTTTCGTCTGAATGAGCAGACAGCCAATCGTAAGACTGGAAAAGCAAGATAGAAGATTATACACTGACAACATAACATTTTGAAATAATTAATCATTTCAATCCCACAAAGTATGGAATCTCAGTATTCAGTTTTAATGAAATAGGTTATTTTTTTTGTTTAGTTATTCATTAAATAGGGACAATGCAATTTAACATAGTTCCAATACAAAGCATGTATAGTCTAAGAAAAGACAACAACAGACAAAACAAGTAATAATATCATAGTTAGCTAAGATATGCAAATATACAGTCTAAAAAGAGACAATAATACAACAAGCAGACAAATAGTCATTATTATTATTATTATTATTATTATTATTATTATTATTATCAAAAATATATTATTATCAAAATATATTATTATTATTAATGAATGAATAATTATTTGAATAAGCAGTGTAAAATATTATAGTCATGTTTACTTCCCAGCATTGAAGGCAAGAGCTGGAGTGTGAGCCAGCTTCTGTTGGCCCATGCAACTACAAGGAAAGACTGTGTTCTTTGATATTACAGATGATAGAGTTGTTTGTTTGTAGAGTCAAAACACTGCAGAGGTCATTGATTAATCTGTTGATTATTTTTTCAACTGACGCATAAAGCCAAAAAGAGCCGAGGGTGATGTTTTGCCAGCAAAAGAAAAATCGGTTTACTCATTTACTGATCATCAAAATTATTGTTGATTCATTTTCTATTGATCACTTAATCAACTGAATGTTGATTTAAAGTACTTTAAAGACAGATTTATAGCGAATGTTTTAATCCAGTACCTTACTACTGCACTTAGAACAGCCTTGTTAGCTGAAATGTTTCATATTTTTTCACTCAGTGTCCCAGGTTGTTTACTCCCCCTGTGATAACGTCTTTGAACTTCAGAAACTTATAGTTTCATCATAAACACTATTTAAGCAAAACTACCAGGATTAAGTCAAACTGGATTATACTGTATATAGAGTATTAGGGCCACAACTAATGATTCATTTTATTATCAGTTAATCTGTTGGTTGAGGTTCAAAGTTCATCCTTGACCTTGGAAACGAGTTGGGAAAGTAGTCTCACCACAAGGACTATTGAGTAGCTATTCTGGAACTTTTGGTCTTATCACATGATCTGCATCATCAGATAAAGTATAGTGCTCAGTAAAAAATGGAAGTTTGAACATCCGCAATCCCATGACCACTGGGCAAACTCCATTTGCTGATGATCATGTCATTTGGTGAGATTGTTTTCTCGGTTGATTATCACATCGCAAAATATTTCGGATGAAAGCTTCTGGCCCAATATACACGATTCAACCAACACTCATATAGAGCAGAGAAACTAATCATTTTAGTGCTTGTTTATATGAAACATAATTTGGTCACAGTCCTCCAGAGTTTCAGGTAAACAATTAAAGGCCAAAAGATTTTTGTGACTGTGTGAATGAGAGACAGAGGGGTGTACTGTGTCTCGCGGTGTGAGTGGGAGTTTGACTGTGTTTAGGACGGACCCAGACGGGTGCAGAGTGGGTCATCAGTGAGGTGCTTTATCTTTCTCTCTGCCTGTCTAGACATTGATGAGTGTCAGATGGGGACACACCGCTGTGGAGTGGGCCAGATCTGTCACAACCTCCCTGGCAGCTACCGCTGTGATTGTCAGACGGGCTACCAGTATGATGCTCTCCGCAAAGGCTGCACTGGTACGTATCGCTGTGTCAGGTCTGTGAGATGATGACAGGCAGATTGGAGGTTTTGTTGTCCAAACGGTTTTTGAAGTGAGAGGTGCTCTGGAGGCAGAAGCCATCTCACTGCCTCAGTTAAACATAAGTACACTGAGCCAGAGGGATGTCAGACTTGACTGAATGTAAGAATGGGATGTAAGGTTTTTTAGATAACTACATAGTAGTAAAAATGTAATTAATAAGTTCAAATCACTATGAAAGAATCTTTTGGTGTGTATCGTAGATCATATGTTGTCATGTTCAGGTAATACAAGTGTTAACTGAATAATTCCTTTCTCATCCATTTGCTCCTTTTAATATTATGTGAACACAATCAGTAATTTGAGAGTGGTGATTTATCCTTGAACTTGGAGATGAATTTCTGTGATTAGATCTGTGATTAGATCTTCTAAAGCCAAAGGTTCAGTCACTAGCTTTTTGGAGCTTTTGACTATATCTCTGCAGCTTTCATCTGACTACAAAACTGTTAATTATATGAGACCCAAGTACAGAACCTCTGTCACGTGATAATAAATGGCACACCACCTGAGCAAGCTCCTTTCACAAAGAAGCTGTGGTATGTGATATGATCATATAATTCAAAAAACACAGTTAGAGAACCTTGAGTGTGAATATTTTTCCACAGCATCTGAGTCAGTCTGAGTGAATTAACACTTGCTGTAGAGGTGGAAAGGCTTTAAGAGTACACAAACACATAATTATAAATTGCTGTCCAAATGTCACAAGAACAAACCTAATGTTTTCATTACACTTACAGGCTCTAAATAATTGGCTGTCATATTACAAATCACCATCCACCCTCTGAATGGGCCTGTGTCCCGTTCATGGTTCAGTGGAGGCCCTTTGCCTTATGAACCATACCCTTACTGAAACTGTTTTTGCTAGCCAAGTGGTATCACTACATCACTACACACATTTCAATAGGGGGCATGCATGCATACAACTAAAAAACGAAAAAACTCTGGAGGGAGCAGAGATTTAAATGTAAAAACACACGTGTAGCACATGATTTGTGGATGACCACAGCAGACCTTTTAAAATAAAACCCTATAGATACTGCATGTGCTTAAAACGGCTGCTAATCACATAACCAGTGCAGGTTGGGGGCTTTGGTGTCCAATCAACAACGTGAAACAGAATCAGTAATGTCAAAGCAAGGTTCAACCTGTGCCTTTGGTAGTGAGCAACTGCACGTTTACAATGGCTATAATGATCAGTTTTTGTTGACACTGTCATACAAGTGTTAACAAAGTATATGTTTTAGCATTCAGCTCATAACTATTGAAAATATTGTCCTGCACTACCCTATATTAAGATTTCTAGCTTCAGCAGAAGTCAGTCGGTTTTTTGTAGAACTGAGAACTTTCCTGATCACAGTCTAAACTCGTGCCCTCACCATTACTGGCCTCTGGTAAATCAGAATGTCAGCGGCCTGATTATGGTGACTCTCATACACATCTTGCATAAAATCTCTCAAAAGCACAAGACACAAATCCTATTTTCTGTGCTTCATAAATGTATTGTATATATTTGTGTTCAAGTCGTATCCTTCAAATGCACAAATTACATTTTCATGGCTCTTCAGATGAAGATCCTTCTCTGTAAAACAACAGGCATGGCAAACTGGACACTTCAAAGTATTAAGGGCAACTGTGATGCAGACATGGCTGGGATTGCCCACGACCAAATGTCACGTGCTGTAGCCTGTAATTCTTTAGTAGATTCCCCTTCGTGGCAGACAAAGACAGACAGATCTTGCACCACCATCCCACAGGCCAGAGGTCGTAAAAGTAGTCTTCATCACTAATCAACGTACATGTAATGGTGTTACGCACCACTTTGCATTCAAACACACCACAGTCAAAAGTCACTGATGTCAGATTTGAACATTAACTGAAGCTCCTGACCTGTATCTGCACTACTGCCACATGATTGGCTGATTGGATAATTGCATGAATACGCAGGTGTACAAGAGTTCCTAACACAAGTTCTGAAGTGTATGTAGGAGTATGAAAACTTGGCTAACAAGGTGAAGGAGTCTCACACTACTACATAGTTATGTGTGTGTCAGAATGAGAGCTGGCGTTGAGTCCTTGGTGGCCTGCAGGTATTTGCCTGCTGTCTAATAGCTCTTACTCCTGTACTGACAGATGTAAATGAGTGCTGGCGCTATCCTGGCAGGCTGTGTGCCCAGACCTGTGAAAACACCCCAGGCTCCTACCACTGCTCATGCACAGCTGGCTTCTCTCTCGCATTTGATGGCAAGAACTGTGAAGGTAAGCTTTTTTTTTTTTTTTTTTTTCCCCTAACATACTGGGAATTTAAATGCCACCTTGTGTAGATGGACTGTCTTATTTTCCTTGAATTTAGGCATAAAGGTAAACCACTGGGGAGAGCGTTGGCATCAAAAGCCAAATGCAAGACTTTGGAGATTACATATATATTGATAGAAAACTGTTATGAGTCCTTTGTCAGTCTCTGTTATCAGTAAAAACAGTTTTCTGGTGGAATTTAATTTAGTCTTCATGTCTGGGTTGTTGAGGCGTCTCACAGTGCGTACAGTACATAATGGTTTCAAGGTTCAGGCATAATCAGTCAGTGTGTTGAAGACATGGTTGTGCTTCAAAGAGCAAAGTTGACCAGCAGCGTGAGTCACATTATGTTCAGCTTGTCACAGCTGTTGCTGAGGCAACTTAATCAAGTTGTGTGAATGTTTCTGTTCATGATGCAAAGGTGAAGTTTTGCATTTATCAAGGCTTATTATAAAAGCTTGTCTGAGCAACATGATTAGGTTTTGATTAGTGCTTTTCAAATTAATTCGTTCCAGACACTTGCAGCTTGTCCTTCTTCAGGAAGCGGTATAATAACAAACGGCATCAGGAGCCACTGTTGCACAATCAAAATGGCTGAAGTGCTAATGTACCTTTACCTCAGTCTTTTTTTTTTTCAGTTTCCACAATGCAGTTCTGCAGAAATCACCTGTCAATTTCCTATTTTGTTTTCTTCTGATGTTTATATAGATGCTGATCATTTCTTTGATTTTTTTATTACATCAAAACATTATTGTCAACAAATTTCACTTTAAAACTATAAAACCATGTATCCAAAGCCTGATCCATCTTAACTGCCATTAAACATGAAACCATATATTTATGACTAATTTCTAAAGAGCCACAGACAGGGCAGTGATTTCAGAAAATATCGAGAGATAGGCTGCTATGCTTTTTGAATTTTTGTCCTCTTATAAGATTTGTTGACTAAAAATGTGTCAAAACATATCCTTTAGAAAAACAGGGAGAAATCTAATCATATCTTTTCTGTTCTCAGATGTTAATGAATGTGATAAAAATCCCTGTAGCCAGGAGTGCGCCAACATCTACGGCTCTTATCAATGCTACTGTCGCCAAGGCTACTACCTGAAAGAGGACGGACACACCTGTGAAGGTATTTTTTTCCCAAGATAATCAGGTAGACTGGTAGGGGTGGTGCAGACCAAAGCAATCTAACAGAGTGAATGTTGGTCTTACATTTACCAGTTGGACATTAGATGTACAATATGTTGCTCTCCATCTGCTAGACGTGTAAGTACATGATTGATTGCTAACGTCTCAATGTTAGGCGAAGACAATATGTCAGAGTTACACTCAGTGGATCTTTTATTAGTCACATGTGAAATGTAATTTAATCCAATACAAGAGCTTGGCCGTAAATTCTACCTTTACAAAAGTAATAAAGCTCGGTTTTGATTGACACCATGTGTGATTGAGGCATTAATATGCTTATTATTTAGTTTGCAGTAGTATACTGTGGTATATGGGGTTTCAGTGTTGTTTTGCCCCATTTACAAGCATGAGCGGGGCAGAGTATTTGAAACAAATATGGATGGAGGGACGGACCTTAGATTGTATAGGTGTACTCGTGTAAGTGCATTAGGAGCATATGTGTTTCACTGCTGTGAAGTTGTTCTACTGCCAAGTGGCCGAGACAAAAACAAAACAAAAGAAGAACAATGCAACTTTAAAGCCTTTGTGCAAAATTTTGATTAGAAGTGTCAGACTTTGTTGCTCACCAGTGGTAATGTCAAACAAATGTAGCAACTATAAGGCAAACCCATACCCTCTTCATCCTGTACTCCACGGATCCACTCCAGTCTGTAATTCGTTATAAAAAGATGCTGCAATCATATTGAATATCTTCGCATAGCAAGTTTACATTAGTCGTCAATATTAGTTGTTATTGTGGGGGTTTCTATGTATTTTTCCTTTGAGACTGCAGAAAACAACATTGAAAACAACAAAGTCCATGTTCACACAGACATTCCCTCTGCATTGAGGGGGTTCATCCAAAAACAACTCAACACTCACATACATGCATGTGAGCATGCAAGCCTACTCCTTCAGCTGGACCTCACCAGTACATGAAGCAACACTCTACCAACCAACTAACTCAGGATTCATTTCAGTGTGTGTCCCAGTGTCATTCATTCATCTCAGTACTCATAGGTATTGAACGAAAAGTCAATACCAATGTAAGAGTTATAAATAAGGCAGTGAGCTGCTATACCCTCAGCCAGCCATCATTTTAAAAATAGCAGAAAAGCAGAAAACTGTTTAATGCAGCAGACAGTCTGGTCTACATTTCAAATCTGGAGAAAGCAGGACAGCTAGTATAAAGTATAGATATATACATTATGTATACACATGCAGTGTACCACAGCTGAGCACAGTACATACACAATTAGAACAGTGAAGCAGCACTCTCCCACTTCAGCACCCAACGACTTCTTCAGCAGTCAAGTGAATGGCAGGGGCGGAGTGGGACACCAATTTTACTAGGAAATTACAAGTTCTATTCATCTGTCTGAGTGACTGTAACCGTCTCCTCAGCTGTTGCCCTCTCCATTCTGGACCCTGAGGTAGAATCACTCTCCCTGGCCATTTCCACACGATCAGCCTCATCTCCTTCTGTTTTTAATTTTATAAAATAAAAACAGCTATTATTAAGAGTTCATTTCAATTGATCACATAATGAAATGCATTTTAAATTACTTGGCTTGTTTGAGAGTTATTGACCATAAATGCATAACTATGTTTCTTACATTATACTATAAAAATTACTACACCTATTATAGAATATCTTGTCTGAGATTTCTACATGTTGCAGTCCTAACGTTTGTCCTGTAAGTTTCTGCAATATAATTCTGCAATATTACAACTTGCCCCCCGAAACTGCATCCTATCCTTTGAACTCATCATTTGCATATTGTGCATTGTCAGTGTGCACACCTGTAGTTGTGCTTTCACTGCTGCCTCCTACCACTTCAGGAGGGGCCACTCATTTACCCTTCTACTGCAAATGTGGACTTGTTAGCGGCTTGCTTGCTGGGAGAGACGAGGTGCTGCGAGCACACAGTGCAGGCCGGCCAGATGGTGCAGCAAGGTAGCCTACTTTTATAATGCACTGTTGTTAGCCCACACAATAATCAAAAATGCTAACGGCCCACCAGGAATTCTCCTGACCCTCCTATTACTGGTGAATGGTATTCCACATTGAAGAGATATGTGAGCAGAGGGGGAAACTCAGACAGACTGGGAGAAGAAGAACATTTTTTTAATCTGAAAAACTCTTGAATTATGGAATAAGCCCTAAAACAAATCAGTTAACACCATGATTCATGTTCATACTATGACTGTAACCCAGAGACCAGAGTGAAAGCAGCAGATTTTATTTTGTGTGGGGTGACAGGGCTTTGAGGTTAGCTTGTTCTTGCTCTTTGATTCCACACAGGGCTGTTCTCTGACTGATAAGAAGTGTGTGTTTGTTTTTAACAGATATTGACGAGTGCTCTCAGAGCATCGGGAATCTCTGTTCCTTCCAGTGTGTTAACGTTGCAGGCAGCTACCAGTGTGCCTGTCCTCCTCAGGGATACACCATGTCGGCCAACGGACGCACCTGCAGAGGTGAAGCCTCAGTGAACACGCAGTATGAGTGTTGCTAACTGCAAATGAATCATATCAAGAGAAAATCCATCTATACAGTTTTAAAGTTTTAATTCATTTAATGTATTTTTTTCACAAATTGGAAACCGCAGGCAGATTGAAATTTAAAAACAACTCTTAATTGGTCCTAACTGAATTAAAAATGAAGTGTAGACTTGATGTTGATTTGTATAGTGCACAGTTGAATTCATTTATGATATCAACTACTCTGCAATATGTCATAACTCTTTATTTTGTGTCTCCTCTCTTTAACTTTTTCTAAAGGGAATAAAAACTAAAGGGAAAAGAAACTTTGTTAAAAATGCAGAAACTGGCTGCTCATAGTGTTCCTTCCAGAGAGACTCTGACAGTCTTCAGCCCCTTTTATGTTTCTTGTGCATGTAAAAATAATGAAACAATGAGATTAAAGTCTGTTTAAAAGAACAAAGAGGACTAATTAAAGAAACAGCCCCACATAGCCCTTAAAATCTGCATTCACATAACATTCCCAGCTTTTTCCGTTCAGGCAGACTGTGAAAACGATGACCCACTAGTAAGAACTAAAGTTTGATTTTTTTTTTTAAGGTAAAATGCAGTTATATAAATTTGTAATCAACTCATCTTCAGGAACAAGTTTGAAGAAGTTTGAGAAAACAGCTCCGACTCAAGGTCACAATTTTCAGCCCATTAGCAGGTGTGTTGCTGTATCTGTTCATATTTAAGCAAATAGTTTCTATGATCTCATCCATACCAATTAACTTTGAAGCTTTTAAGGAATAGATTGACATTTAAAGATATGGTTACATACAGATACATGCACAGATTCTCCCTGAGAGTAAAATGAGAACATCCACACCACAGTCACATCTCTATGTATATAGATATACAGGAGCTACAGGAGACAATTAGCTTAGCTGAGCACAAACAATGGAAGCAGGGGAAAAAGCTTGTTTGGCTCTTACTCGTTAAAAAAATCCACTCAGCAGAACCCTTAAGTCTCACTAATTAACATGTATATCAATTTTTACAACAACAATTTGTGGTTGTTGCGAGAGCACTCCACAAATTAAGTTTACTATCCAGCGGCACTAACCAGCAGACACAACTCTTTATGCTAGTCTTTATGCTAAGCTCAGCTAATCACCTGCTGCTGGTTAACAGGCAGACATGATGACAGTGGTATGAGTGTATATCCCAAAATATTAAATAATTTTAATAATATAGTAAGGACTGTTTTGTCAAACTTTTATATTGTGTATGTTCTTGCTGCTCTGTGCTGTTTAGTCCATTTCCACGAATGAGATTGGTCTCATTCTCATTATTTTTGAGAAAGTTGGGAAAGTGTAATGACCCCTTTTTATTCAATCTTTTTTTATTTTCCAGATATTGACGAGTGCACATCTGGCAGCCACAACTGTTCATATGGACAGACCTGTTTCAACCTGCAGGGAGGCTTCAGATGTCTCTCCTTCGAATGTCCTCAAAACTACAAGAAGGTGTCAGACACGTGAGTCACATTTATCTCTCAGCATCTTGAAGATCTGACATGTTATGCTTTAATGTTGCCTGTTTCTTTGCTTCTCACCATAGCAACATGTCCAACCTCTCTTCAAAGTATGATCAGGTTGAGCTTTTTCATGAGCAGTTTCATTGGGAAACAGGGCCGATAAAGTCTCAGTTCACAGTACATATATGATGGTTATTTTGCAGTATCCCGGGCTTCAAAAACCTGATGTCCTGCCCCTTTAAGCATCAACTGGTATCTGTATCTGTATCTGTTCCTCTCAGCCTGTGCTCCTCTAATGAGAAATACTGTACATCCATGTTGTAACTGTGCACCATACTGCACAGAAGGGCCTTGTTAGCTGTGAACCTGTGGCAGCTGTAGAGGCTGGCTGGTAAATGAACATGACTCCCATCGAGCACCGCGATGAAGTCAGATAGCTTTGATCAGCCTGGTGCTTCCTGGGGCAGTCTCTGCAGCTCTCGCTCCTCTGCATTCCAGTGGACAGAAACAGCACATACACACACACAGACGCACACACACACACCCGCCCTCCATTCAGTCCACAAGCAGGGTTTTATCAGCCTTATCAAGAGACACCTTATTAACCTCAGTGTGATGTAGCCTGGCTCAGGATGGAGAGACATCTTTCATATATGAGTAGATTTGGCGGCCAACAGTAGAATGGCTCCTGCTCTGCTCTTGGTGCCACTCTGTGATTCACTGCAGCAGCTTCCAAGAGACTCTTGTTTTGGCTTGAGTTGTGCAAATTTTGTGGTGCACTACATCAAGAGGCTGTAAAATCTGACATGTGATGGATAAGTAGTCACAGAGCGTTGGAATACCGACTGGAAAAGCCCTGCAAACAGCCACTAGAGGAGGTCTGCTCTCTACTGTACACTGGCCCTGGAGTGCTACTTTTCACTGAGTCGCTGCAGCAGAGGGCCGTGACGGGGACTAGCAATGCTACATGTAGTGATGCTTGTAGTTTAACTAGAAGAAAATACATCCCTGTATTTTATCTGCTGCACAGATTGTGAATCCCATCTCTTAATTCAGGAGAGAATCAGACGAGAGAGAGATGTGTGTACACACAGGAGAGAAGTGAAACTGAAACTTTACCTTAGTTATTGTGTAAATTAAATCCTTTCCATTAATTAATCACTGACGTGTATGGAACCACGCTGCAGACTGAAGACTGCCAGATTTATGGTAAATGTTAAATCGACTGCACTTTTTCTAGCCTTTTTTTTGTTGTTTTTTGTTTTGTTTTGGTGAAAGAACGTGACAGAACAGAATGTGACAAAGAAACTGGGACTAGGAAAACATAAAACATAACAGACACACCATTGACATAAGATAGTGTATATAAAATAAGATTTAGGAGTTAGGATTGAATTATGTTGGGTGTGTGTGTGTCTGTGTGTGTGTGTGTGTCTGTCTGTGTGTGTGTGTGTCTCTGTGTGTGTGTGTGTGGGGTAGGATGTTCTATTGAGAGTCCATGTCATACAATAATAATAATGACAAGAATGATGAATGAATGTATAATAATGAATAATTGAATAATAAAATTATGGTTATAGCGAGTACATGATGCAACATTATTATAATAATGAAATAGCAAAATATATATTCAAATATTTACCTATATATGTATATACAGAGACTGTATCATAACAATCAATAATACAGTAATAATGTATAATAATAATAATAATGTAATAATATATAATAATGATGGATTCATGTAGGAAGAGACCACAGCAGAATGTTGGAGGAACACTTTTCTAGTCTTATCGACCATTACAAGCCACATTTTCCTATTCTCACACACATTCGTACAGTGCTTTTTCTACCATACACACACATACATACACTGATGATACATCAGTGGCAGTTTGGGGTTCAGTATCCTGCCCATGCCATTCGTCATGCACACTGGAGAAGCTGGGAACTGAACCACTGACCTTCAGATTAGTGGACGGCCCGGTCTGCCTCCTGAGCCACAGCTGCTGTATTAAAATGACACAGCAAAATAATGAGTGGCTTTGTTACAGTTGATGTAAAATAAATTGAATGCATCAAGCAGTTTTTGCTGTGTAGCTTCCTACTTTAAACAAAGCCTCTTACACCAGCACTGTGACATCATAAGGGAAATAAACACACCACAACCACAGTAATGGAGGAGACGCATGCGAAAAACACTCCTTTATATTGACAGTGTGAATGTGACATTGGAGCCACACAGTTACTGGTAACAAAAAAGTTGGTAGCAGGTCTCTCAACCATGAAAAAGCTCAACAAGAGGAAGATGCTGAATATATCTGTTTTTACCAATTAAATGCACTTAACAATAGTTAATTTTCCAGTATAATGTCACCAAAAGTAACTCACCTCGACATATAGTCTCGCTAACCTTCCCTCTCTCTATCATTTTCAGACGCTGTGAGCGGATCAGCTGTCCCAGCAACTCCGTAGACTGTCACAACTCTCCTGTGCGAATCACATACTACCAGCTCAGCTTCCAGACCAACATCATCATTCCAGCACAGATCTTTCGAATCGGACCTTCCCCCGCTTACTCTGGCGACCACATCGTCATCGGCATCACCAAGGGCAACGAGGAGGGCTACTTCAACACCAGGAAGCTAAACAGCTTCACGGGTGCTGTCTACCTGCAGAGACAGGTTCGTGAGCCCAAAGACTTCCTAATAGACGTGGAGATGAAGCTGCTGAGGCAGGGCACGTTCACCTCGTTCCTTGCAAGGATCTATGTCTTCATCACAACCAGCACTGTGTAAACCCAAACCGATTGAGGAAGAGACTATTTCGTATGGTGCTAAATGTTTTATACATGTGCAGACTCTTTAGGTGATGCCTCCCCACATTCAAACATATTCAAGGTTCTTGTAAAATGTTTTCAAACTGGTTTTCTGCTTGTTTCTCTGCAGACATGCTACAACAATCATATTTCCTGAGAAACCTTGTATATGTATGTACCTATGTATTTTACAGCTTGACTCTTGCTCATGTAATTTAGCTTTGATGCACCACTGTTACAAGAGTTTTACACAGTTTGTTCATATGGACAAAGTCCAAGTCTGGGTTGATGGTTTGTGCTCTGCTCTACTCTCTACTCTTTTACCTCCCTGTAAATTGTTAATTTCATGAGAATTATTCCTTAAAGTCTGAAGATACCATTAAACCATCGAAGCACTAGAAGTTAAGGGCACTTGTCACTGTGTCGGCCCGAAAATGACAAAATGAACTGAAAGTTTATTTTGATTTGTTAGTGAAATAATTAGACTGGAGTGTAAAAAGAAAGTTTTATATTTTTCCTTTAACCTCTGAACAGTTTGTTTACCACCAATTAGGGGACAGAATACACAAGAAAAAAATTATAAATTAAATTAAAACCTAATTTATTTTTATTTATTTTACTTTATTTTAACCCTTTTAACACCTTTTTCTTTTTTTAATTTAGTTTTATTTTATTTTTAAAAAATTATAATTTTTTTTTTTTTTGGTCTTGGCACAAATTTATCTGACTTGTTTACTTTAAATTAAAAGAAATACAATTTCAATCATCTCTGTGATAGACTGGCCTGTCCAGGGTGTACCCCTTGCCTATGTCAGCTGGGATTGGCTCCAACTCCCCCCGCAACCTTAGAAGGATAAGCGGTGTGGCTAATGAATGAATGAATTTCAGTTTATTTTACCAATTGACCAGAGATTAAAGGAAAATTCTAAATCTTCATGTGTCTTTCTACACTAAGTATTTAGGAGTGTTAATAATTGATGTCTTCAGTTCCACTTTTTATTTACTTTTCTCAGTTTTGGGCCTCAGCAGTCACCCAATTTATAATGTGGTTAGAAAAAAGTAGCAGATCCCTCGTATAGTACATTTTGTTCAGTATTTGGTGTATATTATTTTTTTTATAGATGTGACCTGATTAAATGTAAGTGTTGAAAATTCAGTGCACATCACACAGAAAACATTCATATAAGGTAATTTCAGCCGTGAGAAGAATAATGTAACGTTACTGATGATCATGTTATTGTTATGTGTTGTACTCTTCACTCTATTACTGGACATATCTTTCTATGTTACTGTGTTGTAATTATCTCAGGGTCAAAATCATGCAGTCTCGTATACGCCGGACAAATTCCTGTGTCGTGTGCAGGAATAAACCAGTCTGCTGATGTAACTCCAGACTGGCCTCACACAGCATGTGCAGTTTCAGCTGTCACATGACATTTATATCTATAAACCAATCAATAAATGATGATCAAACTGTTGTCATTTGCTCAATAAAAATTAAGATTAAATTTTAGCCGGGTGTCAGAGTCAGTTTGTCCTCATCAGTGCTGCACACTGGTGGTCTGTTGTTCTCATTTCTGCTCAGGCTGAACAATGAGCCAACATCCCCATCTACTGGTGGAAGTGTCAGCAGAACTCAGTCCCAACTAAACACACTGAATACTCACTTATTTTTCTCTCATTGTAGCAACATTTTAATTCAGATGTTATTTTGAAAATAAGCAGCTTCACAGTCTGAGCACGTCTTATCTTAACTGTTTTCAGCCTGCTTTTATCACCTGTTCTGCCGCTCCACAAGGAACATTCAGAGAGTGTTACACCCTACAACATTCCCACCCGGAAAGTGTGTGTGTGCTTTGCTGCCTCAGCCTATTAATACAACAGATAGCCTTTCAAATGGAAAGTCGGCAGGGTGAATCATTCCTAGGTCACCATATAAATAAACACCACAGTCTGACTGATACAAGGTTTTGCAAGATACTATCAACACTGGTGTTTTTGGAGCTGAAGCTACTGGCTGACGAGTTAATGGGCAAACCAACTTAAAGATACTTAATAAAGTACTGCTCCATCACGAGATTCTAGGGGCCAGTTTCACAAAGATATGTCAGACTGGTCTGTAGTTGTTGGTCCAGTCCTCATTTTCAAGCCAAAAACATTAGACACCTTACCCCCAGACTAATTCAGGCCTAAGAACAATGTTACCATGGTAACAATCAGTGACACCTGCACTGACCAGTAGCATCCCACAATAAAAAACAGAAAGACATGGCTCATAATTTGTGGTTTGCTAATATTGTTCTGGAGAGAGCAAAGAGAAGGGAAAGCAGACTGAAAGAGTTTTTCCTTTTTATTGTTTCACTCTTGAAAGTAAAACATTCTTGTAACTGTTGAATTCTTCCTAAAGACAAACATTTCCTGCTGGGGTAAACGGAGCTGAGCGGTTGGATGTGGTTCCTCGGTCGGCCATTTTTTTCATATTGAAAAAAGTCTTAATTTACCCAGAATTCATTGTACCACAGTCTGGTTTAAGATAGTCCAGAACTAAACTGATTTGTGCATCAGATGAATTTAGACTCAGTCTATCTGAAGTCTGACTCTGAGTTCTATCTAAGACATAGTCCGGACTCAGGACAGATTCAGCTCCCTAACACAGATCCTTGGTAGTGGTTTTGATGATGGTGGAGGAGAGCACTATCACTTAGGTTTAGATCTGGTGACAAAGGCCAAAGCATATGATTCACATCGTTCTCATAATATCACCTGTTAATGAGCCCTTGTGCCTTTTAGTTATTATGTTCCTCTACTCATTTTTCAGGTTTCACCCATTTGTAGGTGTTCAGTATCAACTGTTCACACCAGACCTGTATCTATCAACTTGGAAATGCCCTTGAAAGACCTTGGACTTTACTGCAACGCAGAAGGCTGAAGAAAATGAAAAAGCACCGAAATTTAAAAAGAAAACCTACCTGATCAAAGGCCTGCAAACTATTACAGTGATCATTATTAAAAGCAACATTTATTGGTTTTCTGGCCACTTGGGGTCAGTGGAATATTTATATGTCATCATGTCAAATACTTGATAGCAAATAGCTGCCTACTTACCCAGCAGACACAGAGCAACATTAGCCTTAGTGTTCCAATATTCAATCTCTTTAGCTCTGGTTTTGTCTCCACCAGCTCCTGAGAGAAATATTTGGCTCTTTAGTTGCTAAATGCTCCACTATGTTCACCAGCTGCTCTCTAACTGTTTTTGTCTGTTTCTGGCTGGGTCGTGTAAAGTGAGTTTATCAGAGCATTTCCACTGAAAACAGCTGCTGCTGGTGCTGCTGGAAACAGGGCAGAGAGTCTGAAATCTATAAGACCAAAACAATGAGGTAAAATATGTTGATGTGGTTTTACTGTATGTTTCACATTCAAAATCACAGTGTTGACTTGAGGGCTGTATATATTAAATCTATTTGGTCTTATCTTCATTAAATTTGTAGGGTAACATTCCACTATTTTGACTTTATCTTCAGTGCTAACACTTGGTGGTGATATTTTTACATTTTCAGATCATTTGAGTGTAATCTGAGTTTCTGCTGGTGGTGCTGGGTTTTTCTGTTTTATTAGAAAACACAACTGACACACTGAAACACACATCACTTCCTGTGAACCAGAGATAGTCCAGGGCTTTCAGACTTTAATATGATTAAATTAAACGCATACTAATTCAACATTGTGACAGATATTTATTCTGTGGTCCATATGTCCCACCATGGGACTGGATGATGGAAGGTTTGTTCAGGAAGCTGCTCAGCCAGTCCAGTGGTGACACTGGTCTGCACTGGGTGGCCTCTTCCCTCTCTGCTGAACACATCCGGCTATTGAGGTGGCCTCCCACACATGCAGGGGTGTGCCCTCTGATTATCTGCCTCGGCTTCAAAGTGTTATCAAGACAACTAAATATATGTGATGAGGTCCCACCTTGTTACTGTAACATGAGAACAAGCAGACCTCCAGGAACATCATTCTGCTAACGCCTTCACTGCCGACAGGTTCCCTTCATCAGATCAACCTCAGGATATTTTAGACAATAAGTTTCAACATATGTTGCAAATCAGAAAATCCACTGACACTTGTGTGAATGTGGAGTCTCTGATATGACAGAGGCATTATTGCTGTTTCAAGCTTAAACCTGGTTGTCATGTTTTGATGACCAGCTCTCCTTCTCTGACCAGGTCGTGACTCTTTGCTCTATAGAACGTAAGAAAAAACCTGACTCACTACACCGTCCAACTCAGACCATGGTTATCTCTCACCTCGACTACTGCAACGCCCCTCTGACAGGCCTCCCTTCATGCTCAGTGAAACCCCGACAGATGATCCAGAATGCAGCAGCCCATCTGATCTTCAATCTTCTCAAAAGTTCGTCACTCCACTGAATCAAATTCAAGTCACTAATTGTCACACCTCATCAGTTAAGTCCCTTTTGTCTTTTTCCCTCATTTTTCCATTTGTGTTTCCTGTTTTATTTTGATACTCACCTCTTGTCCTGTTTCAGGTCCCTGCACTTCCTGCCCTCCTGCGCTTCCCTCCTGTGTGATTACTTGACCCCGCCCTAATGTGTTGCACCTGTGTGTCATTGTCTCCCCAGCCCCAGTGTATTTGTTCTCAGTGTTCCCTTCACTCTGGGCCAGTTTGTCTTGCACTGCTGTGTCAGTGTTCTAGCCTTTTTTCCCCCTACACTGTAAAAGGTAATACCTATTCTTACTTGAATTACATTAATGTAGGTTACTCATTTCTCACTATCCTGTTAATTCAACTCATGTAATGTGAGCAATCTTTTTTTGCCAGAAGGAGGTATGAAACTAAGTTCACGTGAGTAAACTGCACTTGTAACTCTGTGTTCCTGGAGTGAACATACAGCTCAGTGGTGCACATGTGCAGTAGAGCAGGGAAGAAGTTTCCAGAAACTGTGTGAACGGTAAGAAGGGTCTCTAAGTTATTCAACTTCACTGAGCTTTACATTTGTCAGGCATGTTCACAACTGAATGTTGGCAGGTCATTTTTAAAGTGATAACTAAAACTAAAGCTGGTAGGCTAATGATGAGGTAAGTTAGCAGTAACCAAACTAGACCTAGCATTCTAGTTATCATGGCACTGTCCCTGCATGTTTTAAACATGCCTTTGCTAAAACATCATAACCTCCATGCTAAATGTTTAAATAAGTATTGGCCAATGGTATCCTGAATACAAATGAGATCCTGGATCCATTTCAACCTGACTTCACAGCCCTTCACAGGACGTGACAAGGTTACAAGTTACTCTCTGTTGACTCTGGAGAAAATGCCATCACGGTTTTAATAGATCCTAGTTCTGCCTTCAGCACTCTGGATAATGACATCCTTTTAACTCATCTCAAACAGTGAGTTGGTATTAAGTCTACAGCACTAAACTGGTTTAAACTGGTCACTTTTTTGCTGATGATACACAGCTGTACCTCACACTGAAATCTAGGGATTCAAGGACATTTAAGGCAGGATGGTAAATAATTTCCTTCAGCTAAACA